GATGCTGCCAATGCTGTTTTTCTCACTTAGTATAGTGAATTTAGCTTCCCACCACACATAGCATTTTGCATGCAGGCTAAAGACTAACAATACATACTATGCTTCCTTTTTTTTAAGTTGGAAAGTTTTCAAACAGCATTTAATGGATCACAAGATAAAAATAATTTTAAATAAATATATCGAAGTAAGGTTTAAATATGACAAAATGTGAAAAATAAAATAAAATATAGAGATTACGCTCATGCTAGCATAAAACAGGCCAATAAAGCACTTCCTACTAGGACATTTACCAAAGTTATGGCTATCCAACTAAAATAAATCCTCAACGCAGGAAAAAAAAACCCAAAAAGTGCATCGTATCTCTGTTTTCACTGCATTGCAGTCTTCAGCAAACCACTGCTAAAATTTAATTTCCTTTCTTTGCTGGCATAACCAACCAAAAACAAATAAAAATAAAATTCAACAACTAGCCTGAAAATACAGTTGAAAAACTGGCAGCAGGCATTTCTGAGCCTATTTGTTCTGAGTCTGTTTCAGTGTGCACTGAGCATCCAGGTGAGGCTTTGTATCGCAAGCACATTTCATTCAGACCCAGCCTGGTGATATTGTGGCCCTTCACAGAGCGAGGATTAACTCCCTTTTATCAGCAAACCCAAAGGCTGGAGCTTTTTTCTTCCAACTCAAATACCCTCTCTGTGCTTTGTTGTCATCTTTTTTTGCTGTGGAAGCAAATGCTGGAAGCTTACTGCTAAGTGTTAGCCACTGAGAACCATACGGGAAGAAAAAAAAAGTGCATTCGGACTAAAAAAGGCTTAGTGTTGGATTCTACGTCAACGGGGCGTTCAGGGACACGTAGCAAACCCCTGCAGTCTCTTTGCACCCCTTTTATGCAAATTGGAAAAAGGCAGAACCAAAACATGGGGGGGGGGGACGCTCCGGCTCTGCAGGAAGTGGGAAGGAGGACGCGTCCTCATCTCCCACAGAGGGAGACGGTCGTTGGACAGCTTAAGGCAAAGATCTGCCTCCTTATGGGAGACGAGGGCAGAGAGAGAGAAAAAAGAAAGACAGCTCTGTAAAAACCCACATCTCACCTCCACCAAACCTGATGAGCAGGAACAGAGGTGACTTAAAGGAGAAACATTGTGACCAGTCCGTCTGCCGGGCGGCCAGGAACACATGAGCAGCAACCGTCAAGGTAAAAATGAAGACAACTAGAATAATGAGGCTTATCTGAATAACAGGACATTTGTCTGTGTGAAACATTAAAAAAGAAGAACAGCAGCAGGACTACATTTGAACAGAGCTGATTTCATCACTAGGACAACGTGTCTGCGCTCAAGACTGATGACAACAATGGACTTCACTTTGAAAAAGGGATTTTTTTGCAAAGTATTTGAATATCAGTGACAAACATTCAGACCTTACCGATGATTCTCAATTGGATTTAGGCTTGAACTTTGACTGGGCCATTCTAACATGTCTAACCTAAACTACATTATTGTAAAAAGTAATGTTAATGCCTTATTGATGTGTGCAAATAATTGTCATTGCGATCAAAGTGTCAGAAATGCACACTTTATATGCAACATTTTCAGACTGTTTTTGAGTGAATGCAGTGTCCTGTTAAAGTATTCACACTCCTTGAAATGTCCCACATTTTGTCACATTATAACCACAAACATAAACATATAAATCATTTTAATCTTAATGAAAGATCGACACAGAGTGGCATACAATTGTGGAGTGGGAAGAAAACTATACAAGGGTTTTTTTAGACAAACTGAAAAGTGTGGTGTGAAAGTTTCTTTCTACTTCACAATTTGTCTCACCACTTTGTGTCGGTCTTTCACGTTGAATGTTTGTGGTTGTAACATGATTAAATATGGAAATGTTTGAGGGGTGTGAATACTTTTCAAGCTGCTGCAGATGCCCAAATGTCCCAGTGACCAAAATGTGAAAATTTACAAGAGATTGTCAGAAGTAAGAAGGTGAGTAAAATATGGATCTATAGCAAACATTGCTATATTGTAATAAGAATTTTGTCTTTGCATGTTTTGTCTAGCATAGTGCCATGCTAATCTCATGCACTCCAGCCAGTCCGACATGTTTAGGGTCTCTAGGCTTCTTCCGTTTGTCCACAGGATGACGCTGCCGCCACCGTGTTTCGGGGTATCATGTCGGGTTAGCATTTTTTCCATGGAGGTCAAACATTTTAGTCTGATCTCACCAATCTGGTTCTATCTATTGAAACCTTTAAGTGGGACTTACCTCCTCTTCCAAATATAGATGTTAATCATTTTTCATTTATTTTGAGGGTAATTCAATAGTTTTACTGCAGTCATTTTGGACTAAAATTTAAACACACACAAAAAAGTCATTTCTTTAAAAGCAGCTAATCTTGGAAATGTAATCTAAAAAAATGATAACTTTACTCTCTCATTTTGCAGTTTCATTCATTTTCAATCATTAATTTTGCTTTTTTGCCTCCTCTGACAGGTAATGATCAAGGTCATCTCACAGGCATTTTCTTGACTTCTTTAATTTGAATTTGTGTTCCGTCACATTTATATTGTATTCATTAGAACACAACTTAAAAGTATATAACCTACTTTAGTTCTTTTTGATAAAAACCTTTTTAGTAGCCTCAGTCTTTAATTAAAGCTGTAATTAAAGCTGCAACTTAATGCCATCTTGGGTGAAAACTGGCCGTGTGATTTTAGGAGTTAAACAGCAAAATATAAATAAATAATGTGAAGTACATTCAATAATCGCTGGGGTTTTTTTTCTGATTAAATCCAACCAGGGGTCCGGCAGCCCATTGACAACATGTTCGAGCTCAACACCAATCAGGAAACTCGCTGGATTCGATGTTAAACCGAATAAACGAAATTAAAGGGCAATTACGCTGAATTACTGTCAGATTCAGACGCCTCTGTTTTACAGAGGCGTCCTTACATTTTGTGAACCTATTGAACCGCTGCGTGCTTTTACCATTTCAACTAGCGATTACAATAAAAACATTTGCATATTTGCAAACTAAAATGAACATAAAACCGAGTGGTTTCCATCGCTGCTGTCAGCTGTCAGTGAGGCGACTCCCTGAGCGGCTGCTAGCAGCAGAAGCTGTTAGCATGCACCGGCTGACTCCCTGAAATAAACCCCTTTTTTAAACTTTTATCGACATTTTATCATCATGCACCAATTATTGTTTTGGTTATACATTTTCCACCGACGCGTCAACACTCAGAGTGACAGCTGCTCGCTGAGTCTTACCCGCTTGCGTCAAAAAACAAAAACAAAATCCGGCTTCGCTTTCAGCTCCGCGTCCCCGAAGAGCTGCATCCATCTATGGTTGTCTGACCGGACCGATCCGTCCTGCTGCGTCCGAGTTGACGCCTGACTCAGCCGGACTCAGAGGAGCAGAGGAGCCCGGTGACATGACCGACACCCCAAACTCTTTATTGGTCATTTAAGCAAAAACATATATACACACAGACAATATTTTATTGTGTAATATTTTTGACATATTGTCACCGTTATGATTTATTTATTTGGCCAAAGGCAATTTTGAAAAAAGAAAAAAGAAATAAATCATTTAGAAAATTACTTATTTTAAGAAGACTATATGGTACTTGCTTTCAATATTTCAAATAGCCTTATTATTTATTCTCTCTGCTATATCAGAGATATTAATATTAGACCAAAAAGATAAAAAAATTTAATACATGTGAACAAAAACTCAGTTTTCACAATACATATTTTCTCATGGGAAAAAAAATCTATCCAAAGCAAGCTGGTCATCTGGACATAAAACCTGTGTTTAGTTACTAAACTAGTTTTAGTTACTAGGTTTAATTAGTTTTTTTCTACATCTGGCCGTGATTCCTAAGTTGCGATGACGGAATTGTATTTTTGTTTCTATGCAGAAATATTTTTAATGTAGCCACATGAAGATTTTCCTAGCACAGACTGACAGTTATTTACCTCACATCTCAATCTAATTCAAATTTGGGCTGGTGAATGTTTCTCAGATTATATTTCCTGTTACATCCCTTCCTCTATGGGATGTATCACGTCCTTTCTCTGAAATAAAACCCCCAGTCGGTCTTGACCGGCTGTTTGGTTCTGCTGGATTTTTGTTCTTGTTTCCTGAGATAATTTTTTTTAGCAATAAACTTAATTTGATTGCATTGTCTGACAACTAAGATCAATTTAAATGTTTGTAATTGACTCAAGATCTATCGGTATAACTGGACTGAATTCACTCCTTGGCTTTGACATTTGCTATCAGTAATTCAAATTAAATTGAAGATTTCTGGTTAACTATTGTAAAGTCCTCTCGTACTGTCACCTTCTGAAAGGTGAAGGCAAATTTATCAAAATAAAACACTGACAAAGCTTCTTCTGCAAAACTATACCGTTCATTTAACTGAAAATGACTTAATTATCACTCAAACATTAATCAAACCATAATTCTGGTTATTCTTATTTTAACATGGATTTAGGCATCCAACTCAAGCTACATTTGTTCTTTTCGTCCTTAATTAAATACCTCATTAATAGATTATCTTAGAAGTGCTGAAATCATAACTTCATTTGCTGGTGGGTAAAATACACCTGATCAAGGGAAGAAAACCAACCTCTTACATTTACATACAGAACAAAGTACATAAGAAGTTTTTACACCTGGGCACAACAGAAATTTAATGAAAGATTAAAGAGAGCACAGCTTAGATTACCCAAAAAAGTCTGAAATGTTGTAAAGAAATTAAGCTGTTATTAAATAAATAATAAAATAGTTATCATACTTCTCGGATATTATAGTTCAATGGCATAGGTGTCCCGATAAAGCTTTTTCACTTACGATACGATACCGATGTTGATTTGAGTATTGGCCGATACCAATATTGACCAGATACAATATCAGAACATATCGGCCATACTTTTATTACTTATTTAGTGGTGTGGAATGGTGGAAAATGCTTGATCAAGTGAGAGTATTCAAAAGAACAGTAGTCAACAAATGACCTGGTTATTATTACACAACAGGTCTGCTACCACTGCTGAACTGAAATCCTTCTATTGCCAGATATAGTACAATACTTTTTTGGCTGACGTCGGACCGATACCAAAATCAGATCGGAACGCCCTTAAAACAATAGAGTACTAAAAATGTTCTAATGAAGACCAATAGAGGTTTGCTGATTTCTCTAGGATGATTGTTTTTCAGTAGTGATATGCAAACAGTTTGCTTTGCATGTGCTGTCCCTTGATAGCTGAAGAATAACTGAATGGTACCATCAACCCAAAAATGCTGTTGTTTCAGTCTCTTTCTTTATCTGTTTGCAAATCAAGTCTGTACTCAAACAGTGTGAAGTTCAGGATTTTAGCCATAACCTCTGGCAAGACAAACTCTCTTATCTTGGTGTAACCCATGCATTCGTATAGTTTTTGAGCATCAGTCTGCACCACGGACGTGTAAAGGATGACGGCAGGGAAACCTCTCTCGCGAGTGAAATCCGCCACCGTCCGACACAGAGCCTTGGCGATGCCCATCCCCCGGTGACTCCGCCGCACCGACATGCGCTTCAGCTCCAAAAACCCGGGCGCTCTCTCGGCGGGGAGACACCCCACAGTCCCGACCACCCGACCGTCGCTTTCGGCCACCCAGAAGCACGAGTTCTTATTCTGCAGGTAGGTCCCGCCGATGTCGTTGAGGTCCTTCCTGAGGCTGGTCTCTATGTATTGGTTGAACATTTGCCGGACCGCGGCCAGGATGAGCGTGACGGCCAAGACGGGCAGCAGGAAGGACTTGGAGCTGGTGATGAGGGCGCAGAACGTGACCATGAGGAACATCTGGGCCAGTGGCTGTTTCAGGACGTGGGTGAAGGACGAAGGCACGTGTTCGCTCATCCCCAAGGTGAAGAGCTCCTTGACGACCTCAGCGTCCTCATCCTGGTACTTTCTAATCTGAATGCTGGCCATGGCTCTGCTGGTCACAGAAATGAATGAAATTTAAAACAAGGGGGAAAAATGTGAAGAGATTGTGAATAACTTTTATAGTACAAACTATTTGAGTAAAAACACAAACATTTTCTCAAGATGATGTCTACGCCTTCGTCTAAAGTTGAGTTCAGGAGTCTGGGTCACATTACAATGCGTCGAGCTGCATTTCCATTAACCTTAAAACTGTAGAAATTGAAATGACAAAAACCGTTTCATGGAAAAACATTTTTAGAAGTTTTTTGAATGTATCGAAATGGACGCATTTCGCAAAACTGCCATGAAAACATTTATTTTGTGTCAACACAGGTCACGTAATCGGATTTTACTGCTGGTGAAAACGACGAGAAAGACAACAGAAAGTAGTCGTGGGATGGTTGATTGTTCGTTTGTTGTTTTTTGTGCAGAGCCCTCACATCGCATATTCATAAAGAGTTGTGTGTCATTCAAACTTGTTGAATCCATCCATCTTCATCGTCCACAAATGAAACAATGCAAAATGCAGCGCTCAAGGGACTATTTTAGATATAGCTTGCTTTTTTATAAGACTTGTTATTGGAAAGCTGGTGAGGGTTTTTAAAAGTTGAACAATTTGATTTTTTTTTCAAGTTTAATCATCTTCAATGATGCATTCCATTTTTACAGATGGTATAAAAAATGTTAAAAGGTCACAGTTTGCAACCTATTAAAAAAGATTACCTCTTAAACATTACATTCTTTATTTGTGTTACTTTGCATGAAATATTTTTACGTCACAACTATGCACTACACTTTGACTATATTACATAAAATCCACCCAAAATACAAAAAAAAGTTTGTAGCTGCGGCCTGACAAAAAATATTACTAGTGTTACAAGTTTCCCCTTAGGTCGAAAAGCAGTGAACATTCACCAGGATGATGATAAGTAATAATATATATTGATTCACATACAAGGATTCTCCGCTAGCTACATCTTGTGCTTGTGTCCCACAGTGGGGATCACACCAAACATTGTGTTGGAAGTCTGGGAAGTGCCTTAAACAACAAAAAAAAACAGACAATGAAAAGTTGTTAGCCCGCCCTCACAGCTACTACAAAAGAAAAACAATCGAAACTATGACACTGTATTTATTTGGCAAATAAATGATCCAGTTGACAAAACATACAACTGGTTAAAGTTTGACCTTTAACCACTGACCTCAAATAAACTGAAGGGCATGTGGTTGATTTGAGGTCAGTCATGCGGTTCCAGTAGCTAGCAGGTGAAAATCCCCGCAGGCCGTTTAATAAACAAGTCCGCGCGAGCTCAGCTCGTCAATCTGAGCTCCGTCAACCACTGACGATAACAGACCGGCTAAGAGATGCTAGCATGCTTCCTCGACTCACGAAGCTGAGAGTCGACGCCGAGGCTCTGTGGGGTTCTGCCGATAAACACAACTTCCTTACCTTATATTATTAATACATGGGATAATAACGGAGAGCGATTCTTCCTGCTGCTAAAACCTCCTCGAACCGACTTCCCTCTTCTTCCAATCCCACTTCAGTTCAGCGATGGTGCATTCATCGGTACTCGGAAAAACAAACACAGAAAAGGTGTTTTAAGTCGCTTTTTGTTTAATTTTTTAATATATACTGTTATTCTGCTCTCTATATGAATGTTTCTTGTGGGATTTTGAAAGCTTCATGGCGTTCCTACGAAAATAAAACAACTCAGAAAGTGTTTTCTCCCTGCCGTGTCTGTGAACACCGCGGCACGTCCGAGGCGCATTGAACGCGGCACGAGGAGTACATGACCCAGGCAGATAATTTTGTCACATAGTGCAGAAAGAGCCAACTTCTGCTTAATGCAAACAAAGACTAGGGTAGTGTTTTGCACCTTGTTAAGAATTAAAAAGATGAAGAACTTGATCTTAGCTCGTTAATTAATTCTTAGTCCCGAATTCCTGTGTCTGTGTAAGTGTGCAGAGAGAAAAGAGCAATCATACGACGTCAGACTTCAGATATTCAGAGTTTTATCCAGAGAAAATCAATGCAAGAAGAATGTTACAATAAGCACCTCACCTAGAATATCAAAAGTCCAAGACATTACAGAACAGAGACAAAGAACTGAGTAAAAAAGACAGAAGATGCATCCTCCGGGAAAACTCTCACCCAGCACAAAGAGATTCCAACTCTGCTGTAAACCAAATCATTTTATAGAATGCGTAATCTCATCATTTAAATATATGCATTAGGAGGTGTGTTCTTTTCCTTTGTGTGGGCTGTCTCAATGTTATTTTATACCTCCTGCTAAGAGCCCAAAAGCAGATATATGGCCCAGCCCTTCTCGTATCAGCCGCTGTCCAGTTTGATATATGATTGCAGCTGCAGCGCTATCTGTGCCTCAAAATGTTTCCACAAGAAAGTAGTTTGTATTTTTAACCAAGCTTGCACACAATGTAATGCTAAATAATGACTATAAGTTTGGATCTAATAAGTAACTATTTAAAAACATGCTTAAAGAAATATAGTTAATTCTAATATAGATAAATTATTTATAAAAAGTTTTAAGATCCTAGTGAACTTTTGAACCATGCTCAGGACTTTGTTAATTGCCTGGCATATAGGCTCCTTATCTCAAGAGATCCAAGGAGTCTAGGCCTATGTTTTCTGTTTTTTCTGTCTGATCCTCCTTTTAAGAATTTATCTGCGTTTCAGAGATTGAGCCGTTGTTTTTAGTTTCATCTAAATTTATATGAACCTAGAGTGTACTTTAACTTTCTATGTTATATTTTATATGTGTCAAAGCTATCCTGTGCAGTATTGTGCTAACTTAAAATTCTATGTCAACATTCCCCTTTTGATCTCTTTAAAAAAGAGATCACCTAAAGTATGACCATACTTACCTGGGAGCAAACACATAAGGATTTAACAGAAAGATTAACATTCCCCCGACAAACAAAACCCCAAAAAATAACAAGACTTGATCCCCCAGTCACATCAAAAAGAAGAAAAACATACATCACATAACATCAATACAAAATCACAAAAACACAAAAAACTTCCTGTCACCTAAAGCAGTAAAAAACATTCAACTATGCACTAAAATATCAACAGTAAAAACAACAACATGAAAAACACAACAATGCTGTGAAGAGAAAAATAACACCAATACATACAGTCACACACTTATATTAAACAATAATGTCTTTACTTCTTTATGTTGCTTCGTGTCCATCGATTGTTCCTGAAAGATATAAAATCTTTGGTGAAGAAAAATTAAAAACTGGAGAAAAAATAGGAAGAAATGTTCGCAACAGTTCGCAAGAGTTCGCAATAATCGGCAACTCCTTTCTTCTTGATCCCGACAGTTTTAGCAGGCGTCCATCCTGAATATGCGAAGCTCACTGAATATTGGATTATTATGCCAACACCGTGAGTGTAATTGAGGGATTTCATCCTCTCATTCAATCAGAGAAAACCCAAAAAGGATTATTATGCCTGTTTTGGGCCTCAAAACGTTGAACTCCAGGAACCAGAACCTATAGCAGGAATAAATCTGCTATCCTTCTGGCCCAGAGTGTTGCTCCTCCTCTGGGTCTGATGTGAACTGAAGATCCTCTGCTGGCCCCATCAGAACCAGGTCTCTCATCACACCATCAGTCGGAGCGGCTCGGACGTCCTCTCCTGTGACTTGGTAGAGCTCAGTGAAGCAGGATTCAGACCACTGCCGTTTTGATGACCTTCAGCCTCACCCAGGTGTATCCTGATGCAGATCTCTTCTCCGACCTCTCCTGTGACCCCTGGTACTCCACAAACTCCGCTGCTATTAACTGTAACTCATCAAAAAAATATTTTATGAGATAAATGTACAGGGTTACCTGTCCATCTGGGAGTTCTGACGGCTGGCCCTGGAAATCTTCTTCTGATCTCATGCTCGTACGAAGAGAAAAGCCCTGTAAATTTATTAATGGACATCCTAACAGACAACAAAGCAACAGGCAATATAACAGGCACTGCAACTACCCCATTAAAATTTTGTCTGTGCACAGATTTTAGCCAATTTTGTATTTTGTTCCATTCAATCACCACATTTGCCTGCAACTTATGGATAATATATTGTACCAAAAATAAAATGATTCAAACCCAGGATTTTGTTCCACTTCCTGGAGATCCTGATACCTGAAATGTAGCATCAACCTACCTCATTAGTTCCTGGAATCCATCACTGGAATCTAATAAGTAATCAAATCCTTGTGACAGTTAATTGTACTCCTTGTATATAAAAAAATCCTGAGAAATGGTTTCAAAACACCTCAATACCTACCTGTGAAAACCTACCCGTGTCGTTCCATGTGTTACCTGGAAAAACATTTATTTTCATATTACGGGGAGAATCACCTTATCAACCTGACCTGTGACGGTTTCTCTTATGACTCGGGCCACCACACCCAAAAATGATGGGCCAAGGCCAGAGATTACTATAGTGACATTTATTTTCTATCTGTTCAGTGTATCAAAACAATTAAGCAATTAAGCACTCACGTCTAACTCAAATAAACTATTAAAGTATAATACAAGAATATAATAAATAAAGTTGTAATTAAAATACACTCCAAAAGAAATCCTGGGAAAATGTCTGACTGAAAATAGATTTGAAAGCCTGTCAACCAAGAAACACACATGTGCACCCACAATGAACCGTCTCCGTTTAAGCTGCAAAATAAGTTATTGATTGTGCATATTTGTGTATATGTGCGGGCTGGATGGCACATACTCTTTAATTAGATATCATCTCATGATGGCTCTTCTTTCCTTCCAAATAGATAGTTCTTCTGGCAAAAACTCTGTTGATGTTGAATGATTTTACCACGTGGTTCTGTTCCACCTATTCAATCGCAATACTTACCATTTACAAACTTTTATATCTAAGCATCAATAGTCCTTGCATGAATCACCACAGAAGCAATGCTTTCTCCAGCTCTCTCAATTCAATCTCATGTTTTACTGGAGAATTATCTGCTCTCCCCCTTTTTCTGAAACAGAACTGCAAAGAACATCAGTTATGTTATAGAAAAATCCAAATTAAACGGCAAATTATAATGAGGTATAGCCAAATGTGCAGCAGCAGCTAGCAGGAGATTATCAACATACTAAACCAAATTCACATCTACTGAAAAATAGACAACTAGCCAAGTACCATTACAAAACCCAATTAAACATTCCTAAATAAAAAGAAAACATCTGTGGCAGAAGTACATACCACGAACGGTCACCTTGTGTAAGGAAAAGAAAACACATCTCTACAACCCTGGCAAGAGAAAAACTAAATAAAGCGCTATCAAAATCAACATAAAAATATAAGTCAGAGAGGAACCCAAAAGTACTGACCGGCACTACAAGGTTACCAACGTCAAAACAGTCTTCTACAAATCATGTGTCCTGCCAATTGTCCTATCTTCCTGTCTCCAGAAATTGCTGTAAATCAAATGGGAGGACGAGGTTGTAAAACCAAATGTGATTGGTGTGATGTCAAACAGACTGTGATAACCAGGGAGCAAAAGACGTCCCAAAACCAGTGTTTACCCAGACAATTTTTGTTTGTTATATTTTATACGTGTCAGTCGATGGAGAGAAAAAATAGAGGAGGAGAAACTATAATGTTCAAATTCAAAACATATAAAAGGCATTTTACCACACCATCTAAGTCCTGAACTGTATTGCTGTGTTACAGAACCAAAGAAACATGTGTTACTGCTTCGTCCTGCATGTTAAACCAATTGTACCACAGTCAGACAAACTGCGGCAGCAACACTTCTGGGTCCACAAAATTCTAAAAAATTACTATTCAGTCCCCACCCGCTAAATTTACAACCAATTGCTCTTGATTTCATTCAAATTTTTCAGACAGCGTGACATGAGGAAACAGACTTCTACTCATCCGGTGCAAGTGTCAGAATCCAGGGTTTCCGGCAATGTCAGGTGTTTTCTGGCTGAATTAGACCCCATACATATCAGCCATATGCTCCTCGTATAGCAGCAGCAAAAAACTGTCCAGGAAGGCAAATGACAGAGCAGACATGACATGATCCATCAGTCCATCTGCCCCCACCGTGTCCAAAGATGTATTCACTGACAGAGTCTGTTTCACCTCAGAGAACCTCAGCCCTTGTGCATTCATATGAGAGTCTTGTAAAAAGCATGGCAGTGTTCATAGTGGAAAGAAAAAAGAGCTCCAGTTTCCACCAAAAATGACAATAAATGTCCATCAACTGTCCCGCTAATCAGGGGATCTGCCGACGCTCCTGATCAAAAGGCCTCTGTGGGGCATGTCAGCGTTCTCCATGGTGAGGGTGGCGTCCAGCACCGCCAGGGATCACTGCAGCATTCGGAGGTTGCTCAGCAGGGAAAGTCCGTTGGACAGGATCGTCCGCAGATGACGGCGACCTATGAGGACACTGCAGAGCCCAATGTCCCATTTCGCCACAGCGATGACAGGCATTTCGTCGTCCACCCTTTCTCCTAACACCAGACCATCTGAGCCCCTGCCTGTGACCACCATGCCAAGCTGAAACCTCAGTCTGCAAATTTGGAGCATCATAGATGTGTGGACCAAACCGTGTTCCTGCAACAGGAGCCTGAGTGAAAAATAGACAGTGTAAGAGCAGCAGCCACCATGGCCACACCCACAAGTGATATTTTGTTTTGTTTATGCACTGAATACCAAGCATCCAGTAACTGGAGCTGAAACAATCACTAGTGAAGTCCCCCTTTTCCACCCAGTTACTCTCCATAGACTGAAACATATGCAAATTATGCAACAAATTATTCCCCATTAATCAGCATCACCACCAGTCAAATCTGAATGTTTTTGTTATCAAATATAGACACGGAGGGAGGAACAACAGGCAGCACATCCAGTCGAAAATGCTCCTACAAATTAGAATAAAAATATAGTTTATCAGAAAAAACATTATGCCTTCCACAACTCTATGGCCTCATATAAAAACATATAGGGATGTATGTAAATGTCCTACAAAAATTTAGAAATAACACCCAGAGCGGCAAAAGAGAAAATAAATTCCCCAGGTCCGCATCTAAAACAGCCAAAACTAAGTAAAATGTGTGTGGTCAGGGGAAAAAAAAAACGGAAGATTTAGCGCTTAATGCAAAATCATAAAAATTTAGTTGAAAGCGTCCAACCTAAAAATCTGAAATTCCCCCAAATCAAATTTAAATCCCTCATAAGTAAATAAAAGACATTAATCCACAACACAGCACCAGTATTAAAGTCCAAAAAGACAAACTTTCCTATTTGAACGGAACAACACCAAAAACAAAGTTTCACATCTGTTCTCCAGAGGTGTGACTGATAATCAGTGTGACAAAGGAGACACATCTAAGAAACGGGACAGCCTAATAGTCTGACAGCCAAGAGTCTAATATTTTAGTCATTATACAAGTACTTTTATATATTTCTCATTCATTAGAATTGCAATATGACACCGCACCAGACTATGACGTGTGAAACTAGGCCCTGCGAAACAAGACCACCCACTAATTTAACTTCCAAATGTTTGTGCACAGATGCTGAAAGCTGCTTCCCTCTCTTGGTTCTGGCTCTGCAAAATCAGAACCAGAACCAGAACCATAGTCTGGAAAGTTGATACAACAGCAGATCTTCAGATGTATTGTGGTGCTAAACCGGTCAGTGATATGTAAACTAACAACAGTATTGTAAAATATATTCTTTGAGCCACAGGGAGCCAGTGAAGGGATTTTAATACTGGTGTAATGTAATCCAATCCTATCCACAGACAATCACACCTCCCTGTTTTTTTTTTTTTCTGTTAAGAGGCGGAACTAGGCAAAACACTTGTAATCCGATCTATACAAATCAACAGGCTTAATTCTAATCACCATAGAAAAGCTACCAACAACACATTTACTTAGCAAACATTTATGCAGGAGAGAGAAAAAAACAAAAAAAATGACCCTGCAAACTGGTCCTACCTGTAAACTCTAATCAACAACTAAAATAGAGGCCAGCACTGCAGAGAATGGAGTAGACTGAGGTGCGACAAAACCTCAGACACCGCATTTAATTTAGCATTATCACTACAACTCACCGGTTCCCCATAAAAAGTCACAGATAACAATCATTGTATAAAGAAGTGTTCAATGCCTGGCCAACTCACCAAAACGGGTCCACAACTTTCTGCCCTGTGTCGCCTCCTGTAAACTCACAGACGCATCTGTCCAGGGAAAAAATCAGCCTGCAGTTGTTCTGCAGACACAATGTGTAACAACCACCGACCTGCCTACGTGTAACAGACAATCAAAATGACACCATCACTTTATTGACGAACTACATCTGCCATGAGAACTGTAAAGCGAGCCGCAGTCACATCAAACGTAACAAGCCAACTGCTGAATTAAATGCTAATGTAGCTCCGTAGATGCGCCTGTACCGTAAGCCACGAGACAGAGGCAGACTAACAAGCTAACACGTTATTATTAAAATCAACCGCCATATAAGCACATAGCCTGATAAAAATTATATCATCAGTATTATTAATATTATTAATATTAGAGAGTATTATTCTTATAATTAGTTCTCAAATAGTATATAAGCACAAACCGCGGCAAAATAACACAACACTCACTCAGCAGCTGCAAACGCCGTCTCACATACACACAATAACATACAGAGAGCCGTAAAACACACAGACAACGGCAAAACTCACACGGCCACCGCACAACGAACACACAGACAAACAACGGCTCAGTCACTCCGACACACAAACAGATAACGTACTGACATAAACACAAAGACAAAAACACAAAGACACGAAGACACGCCGGCGAAACAACACAAACAGACAAAAAACAGCGAAAACACACAGGAAAAAATCAAATAACGTCAACACACAGAGACAAACGAGGAAAATTAAGAAAGATAAGAAAGCAAAAGGAAGTCCCTATTGTTATCGATAACAGAAGAGTTTAATTCTTTGGGGCCCCAATGTCTCTTGCACTTCACTGCACATCACTTTCATTTTCAGCACTAGTTGCTGCGGAAGGAGACCGTCTCCCAATTTAGCATAAGTCCTTTCAAGCTCGGCAATAGCTTAAGTGATTCAACTTTTAAATCTGGAGGTCCTTTCGATCCAGAACAAAACCGGAACGTGGTGATACAACCGTAGCCAATTCTCATAAGCCCTGCGAATAATCAGCTGCTTTCGGAGCGAACCAAAACTCCAAGGTCGATTCAGGCCTCTTCCTGTCTCACACCCCATCTCACAGGCTCCGTTAGAGTGTAGTAAAATCTCAGGTCGGACCAACCTAGCTAAATCCACACTCCGTCGAGTGTGGTTGAGGCGCGCCACTGCCAACTACGGGTGTGTAACCAGCTTATCTAATGGTTCAGTAGAATAAGAAGAAACAAAACAACACAAAGAGATCACACACTAACCAAGATCAGTCCGCGGGGACAGCCGCGCTGCAGATCACTCCGCAACGTTCCAGCTGCGCTCCACAGGCTAACACAAACAAACAAGCCTCCACTGCAACACACACAGAGACACAGAGAAAAAGGACCGGACGAAGCCCCCAATTGTTAAGAATTAAAAAGATGAAGAACTTGATCTTAGCTCGTTAATTAATTCTTAGTCCCGAATTCCTGTGTCTGTGTAAGTGTGCAGAGAGAAAAGAGCAATCATACGACGTCAGACTTCAGATATTCAGAGTTTTATCCAGAGAAAATCAATGCAAGAAGAATGTTACAATAAGCACCTCACCTAGAATATCAAAAGTCCAAGACATTACAGAACAGAGACAAAGAACTGAGTAAAAAAGACAGAAGATGCATCCTCCGGGAAAACTCTCACCCAGCACAAAGAGATTCCAACTTCTGCTGTAAACCAAATCATTTTATAGAATGCGTAATCTCATCATTTAAATATATGCATTAGGAGGTGTGTTCTTTTCCTTTGTGTGGGCTGTCTCAATGTTAATTTTATTACCTCCTGCTAAAGAGCCCCAAAAGCAGATATATGGCCCAGCCCTTCTCGTATCAGCCGCTGTCCAGTTTGATATATGATTGCAGCTGCAGCGCTATCTGTGCCTCAAAATGTTTCCACAAGAAAGTAGTTTGTATTTTTAACCAAGCTTGCACACAATGTAATGCTAAATAATGACTATAAGTTTGGATCTAATAAGTAACTATTTAAAAACATGCTTAAAGAAATATAGTTAATTCTAATATAGATAAAATTATTTATAAAAAGTTTTAAGATCCTAGTGAACTTTTGAACCATGCTCAGGACTTTGTTAATTGCCTGGCATAGGCTCCTTATCTCAAGAGATCCAAGGAGTCTAGGCCTATGTTTTCTGTTTTTTCTGTCTGATCCTCCTTTTAAGAATTTATCTGCGTTTCAGAGATTGAGCCGTTGTTTTTAGTTTCATCTAAATTTATATGAACCTAGAGTGTACTTTAACTTTCTATGTTATATTTTATATGTGTCAAAGCTATCCTGTGCAGTATTGTGCTAACTTAAAATTCTATGTCAACAACCTCAGGGCCACCGTAGAAATGGCCGTCAGTTTCTGCAACAAGAAAATACATTTGCTCCCAATCTGATGTGTGGAGCAGGTTCCATCGTACAAGCACCTGGGTGTTACATTAGACTGGAAGCTACAGTGGACTACAAACACTGATGTGCTCTACAAAAAGATCAAAGTATAATTATTATATAATGAATTTTACATTAAATTATCCTAAACCCCACCAAACACCAGAGATCAGCTCATTAATGAATGCCAGAGTGGAGGCGCCGTGGTTTTTCTCATTTAAGTCAGTTTATTTGCAGGACCCTGCAGAACTTGGTAGCAAGTTACAGTGATGACCAGGCAGAATATTTGTACATTATTTTCGATGAAAAACTGCTCGCCCCACACCTCCCCATGCACCTGCACACGCTCACATCAGCAACCAGAAGCCACCGCGCCTATACACCGCACCACAACGGAGTAACTGACCAGGAAAAGGGGAATGTGGCTTCCTTAACACGATTATTGTTTACTGACATTTTTAAATACATAGATGAACAACTCAAAAACGGTAGGAGAAAACATGCTGCGTAATGATTTAGATAGATGGAAGTTGAACTTGCCACAAAAAAAGATGAAATAAACTAAGTACAAAGACGTTTTAAAGAGTTTGTCGGTTTCACTAGCTTTATTTATCTTCCTCTAAATCGAGTCTGTACTCAATCAGAGTGAAGTTGATGATTTTAGCAAAAAACTCTTGTATGGGGAACTCCCTCCACTTCTTATAACCCATGTGTTCATACAGTTTTTGAGCGTCGGTAGCGACTATAGACGTGTAAAGGATGACGGCAGGGAAACCTCTTTCCCTAGTGAAATCCGCCACTGTGCGACACAGAGCCTTAGCGATTCCCTTCCCTCGGTGGCTGCGCCGCACTGACATGCGCTTCAGCTCCAAAAACTCGGGCATATTCTCGGCGGGCAGACACGCCACCATGCCGACCACCCGACCGTCGCTTTCGGCCACCCAGAAACACGAATTATTCTTCCGCAGGTAGGTCTCGCTGATGTCGTTGAGGTCGTTCTTCAAAGAAGCGTCTATGTAGCCGTTGAACATGTGGACGATCATCTGCCGGACTCCGACCAGGAGGAGGGTGACGGCCAGGACTGGCAGCACGAGGGACTGGGAGGTGGCTATGAGCGAGCAGAAGGTGCACATGAGCAGCATCTGAGTCAGCGGCTGTTTCAGCACGTGCATGAAGGACGCAGGCAAGTGCTCGTTCATCCCTGAGGTGAAGAGCTCCTTTACGGTTTCAGAATCCTCATCCCGGTACTTTCGGATCTGGATGTTGGCCATGGCCCAGCTGGTCCAGAAAAACAGAAAGGCGAAAATGTTAAAAGTGGCAAACTGGGTGAATTGTAATTGCATGTGGAGTACCCCACGGTTTCATCCTGGGCCCCCTTCCTGTTTAACATCTACATGTTCCTGCTAGCTCATAAAATAGCAAGTAATAAAATTAGCTGCCACAGAGCTCTGGATTACGATACCAGGTGACCATAAACCCATTCAAACACAGAGTAGAGGCACAGAACAAATCACCATAACCACCTTTAGCTGAACAGAAACAGAACTGAAGATATTATTGTTGGACCTAAAGAGGAACAATCTAGAGTCAGCACACAGCTTCAGTTATTACAGCTAGAAACTACTGATCAGACCCGAAATCTGGGTGTAGTGATGGACCCTGATCCAAACCTTCAGAGGCACATGAAGACAGTTACAAAGTCAGCCTTTGTAACCTTAAAGGGGTAAAGTTGCTGTTTGTGTTCTCACTAAAACTAGGAAGTGAGCACACATCAAGCCGGTCCTATAGTCCTTTCACTGGCTCCCTGTAGCTCAGAAAAGAAACTTTTAAATACAAATAAAAAACTTTGGCTTATAAATCACTAAATGGCTTAGCACCACAACACATTCAAGATCCGTTGTCGTCGTATCAACCTTCCAGGAGGTCTGCTCTGCATCACCAGAACCAAACACAGAGAAGCAGCTAATGCACAGCAACAAGTGGGGGAGGGGCAAAGCTCCCTTCACCTATGCATCATAAAAAAAACTTTGAAGGAGCAGCGAAAACCTGACAAACCACAAACTACCTGCCTGAAAATATGCTTACTGTAAACACACTTCTGATGAGCGTTTGGCTGCTCCCACATCCTTTACCAATACCCTGAACTACACATAGTAAACACCCATAAAGCCCCCAATAATAGTAACTGGGTTGAAAGCTTTATTTCAGTTTAAACAATTGCATATACATTCGTATAATCAAAAATATCTATGATATAAAAGAAAAAAAAGGGTAACAAAAAAACTTTTTTTTTTCCAACCATCAGAAGGGGGGAAAAAAAAACAAAAAAAAACTTATGAAAATAAAAGTTATTACAAGGCAGTAAATGCACTTAAAAAACTGAGTGGTAGTTAAGCTATTTAACTTCTTATAACATGGGATTAAAATTGGTCAAAGCTTTAGGTTTGTATATTGTTCAGCATTTACATTAACATAGTGCGTTGTCACACTGCCAGAGGTCAACAGAAATCCAATCATGACTTTTCCCTTGCAATTACATACAGACTCATCATCATCATCATCTCAGATGTAGAGAATTGAAAGACTTGACTTTGTTGCTCTCTGTGTGATGAATGACGAGAGCAAAACTATTCAAACACAGAAACTGAACATTTTACCAACGATGACCTCCAGCAGCATCCCTCATGCGCATCACGCGAGAAGAAGTCATGATGGTTTCGAACCAGATTTTTTTTTTTTTAGCAAACTAGTCAAAGGCCAGTAACGTTAGATTCGCGTGATCCTCACCAACCTGCGAGTAAGACTGCGCACACGTTCCTGCCTTTAAGAAACGACAACAGCCAGATTAGCTCACAGCAGCTAGCATCATTGCTAACTCGGAAGCCGCGACGTCCCAGTGAGATTTAGAGGAAGGTAACACAAGGTACTTACTTTTATGGTGATGCCCAAATGTGGTGTTTAAAGTCTCTTGCAGCCAGAGTCTACTCCAAAGTGAACTGCGTGCTGGAAGTGAACAGAGAACTTGGACTTTCCGGATCTTACGTCAACGGGGCAGCCATGTTGGGAGTGGCAGCTTTGTAGTTAAAACACAGAAAAGCGGTTTTGTTCCGGAGTTTCGGTGAAGTTGCGTGACTATCTGTTGTTTCTGATGCGCTGAGTTTTATTATTATAGTAAATAAAAAACCTAAAATACACGTCGTACAAAGAAATTTATTCTACACTTAAAGAAAAATATAAATAACCCATAAATTAGAACCTTAACTAAACATGCACTGGTGTTTGTGTCTTAAGTTATTTAAAAAGCAGTAATAAAGTTTTTTTTTTTTTTTTTTTTTACATCCATTCCTTCCATTTTCTCAACTGAATACGTTTTAAATTTTGTAACCGCAACCAAATTTAACCAGACATTTTGGTGTCCCGGGGGTTGAAACGTCAATGTATTAAAAGCTTAATAATTTTGTAGAGGCTGTTCTTACTTTGATCAGCAGAGATTGTTGATGTCTTAGCACTGCAGAGAGCATATGCTGTGTGCAATTCATCAATCATAACAAGCTTTTCATAGGCATGAACAAAATATGCCCTGGAAAGTTTGTGGGAGCAAGAAAACAAAACTCAGATGAACAGTGGTGCAGAGCTTGTTTCAGAACAGAGTTTAAAAAAAACGGATGAAGCGGAGCTAAAAATCACCAGTTTATATTCAATTGTATACAACACATTAGGTAAATGGAAGTCATTTCACATTTGAAGACTAAAAATAATTTGTTTCTGTAAGATAAATGCTCTTGATTTTTATTTTTTTTAATGTTGATTGTATAAAAGTTCCCTTCTTATGGAGAAAACATTTCACTAGATTGATAGTCCCCACCCCCACCCCAAAAAAAGGTATCACAGCTCATTCAACACTTGGTTTAGTTTGTACAGACATTCATTTTACATTCACACTCAGTCCAACCTGTGTGAGCAAAAACAAACAAAAAAAAAGGCACAGCGTGAGGAGTTTTGTTTCCTCTCCTATCCCAGGTTTATGTCCCCTGCAAACATGGTGATCAGCAGGATGATGGCGAAGCCGGTGAGCAGCCCGGCATTCTGGATCAGAAAGAAGACGATCTTGCTTGAAGTTTTTTGTTGTTCCTTTGCTATGCTGTCCATTTCTGGAAACTGCAACGGAGGATAAACATGAATTATACCTCCAACCGGACAATGTTAGACAAAACAGCCAGTTGAAGCCAAAAAGAAGGAAAACAAAAATGATACATTCTTCTTTTTTTCCTCACTGCGATGTTACGGCAACTCAAATTTCTCTTGTTTTGGGTCAATTAGAATCACCAGAATTATTTTTATTTGTTAAGTGACACAATAATGAGAGAAGCTTGTGGAAGGAAGCCGAAACGACTTAACCCAAGTCGTGAAGTTCAAAGACAACGGCAACAAATACTGAACAAAAATTTATGTCAATTTCTGATTTAGAAGACGATAATTAAAAAAAATGAAAGAATCTGACATATTCTCTTATTTTTGTGGCACTGAGCAAATAGAAATAATGTTGGTAATTCTGATTGAGCCAAAACAAGAGAAGTTTGGTTTGACTTGACTTTAGACTTGAGGGGAGACAATGTGTCTTTTTATTAGAAAGTGTATGTAAGCTAAATATAGAACAACCTGTGAGTGTCAAAGTTTCAGCCTTATCAAATGTTTTGCCTTTTATCAACGAGCTTCCTGACAAGACACATTTGTGCAACGTAAATAGTAGATCCCTCACCTTTTTACCTCATGTCAAAATGTCTTTCTTCGGTCTCTTTCCCACAACATGTGACTGATTAATGTTTATGAATCTGAAATCAAACCAAATATGTCTCATTTTGCAAAAAAAATTCCAGATATCTTTTTCCCTTCTTTTTTTTAATTCGGCTTTTCCTGTCAAAATTAAACATAATTGCTTTTTAGCCAGTTGGGGGCGACATTACAAGCTTGAACCATTAGGTTTGCTGTGTTTAACTTCATGAGACATTTATTTCTAAGGAATATCAAGCCTCCGGTTAATTATTTTTCTGTCTGATGTTAACTATATTTTCTACTTAATAGGACACAGGTCTCCATTGACCATCAGAGGAGAAACAGCTATATGTTTAGCTTGCATATGCTGCACTGGTGACCCCAGCAAGAGTATCTGGGCTGAACCAATGAGCCGGGTGTGTTGCAAGAGCTTTCCCAGCTGAAACAGCTGGCAGAGTAAAGCTAAAGAAAGCAAATCAGTTAAAACAAAATACTCAAACGACACAAGTTTCAGGCTCATAAGTAGGTGTCAGTCGGTTGAAGTGCCAGGCAACGTAAAACAAACACATTTAAATCACACGGTTAGATGGACAGCTCACCATGTCTGCTAGTGCAATATACAGGAACATTCCCCCCGCGATGGCAAAGATGGGATTCGGGGCAAAGCTGTTTCCAAGCAGGATGCCGAACACGAGGCCGACATAACAGGACATTGCCGAGAGCAGGTTGAAGAAAACGGCCTGCGGGACGCTCATTCCAGAATTCAGCAGGATAACAAAGTCGCCTGCAGAGAAGGAAACACTGATTTAAAACCAGCTGCATAAAAAAAAAAAAAAAAAAGCTAAAGAAACAACTCTGCTTCGCCTGAACTCTGGCTAAATTCTACTGTAAAGAATACAGGATGGTGTTCTACCTCACAAATGTATTCACAACCCATGAACTCTAACATTTTATCCCCAGTGATCTCGATTTACACAAAGCAGTGACAAATGAGTCAATACTTTGCAGAGTCACTTTTTGTCTCACCTAGATCTACAACCCTTCTTGGTATGTCTCTTCTAGCCATACAGGGAAAGAACATTTTTCCAACTCAAGTAAAGTCAAATTGGATGGAGTGCATCCGTGAACACTGTTTTTCCAAGTCTGTTCTGGATTTCAACTGGGAAATTCTAGCACAGAAACCTTACTTTTATCTAAGTTGCTCCATTGTAGTTCTGCGGTGAAGGGTTGTTGTCCTAGTAAGAGGTGAACGGAGTTTAACAATACGTGTTTTCTGATCCCCTGTGACCAGTTTTTCTATCCTTGCTGAAGAAAACACCCTACAGCTTGACGGTGCCATCACATTGCACCTTGAACATGGGATGCGGAGGGTGATGTGTTGTTTGGACTTCTGCCAGACATAGGTCACTGAGTGCAGTCCAGAAAGTTTCCTTTTAGGGTGCATTCACACCAGAACTGTTTATTCTGCTTTAATCAAACTCTAGTCCGTTTGCGTAGAAAGTCTGGGTCGTTTGCAGAGCTGTGATGCACAATCGAAATCTGATGCGGACCAGAGAAGCAAACTGGTCTTCCTACAAAACTAGTGGGTTTCTGTTTGCTTGAAGTGAACTCAGGCACACTTGAAATGTATATGTGAACACCAAGCGGACCGGAGGCCGCTCCAAAAGCAGGAAGTGCACTACAGCAACAGGGAATTCTGGGTAAATACAACCAAAGACAAACTTGCCAGCAGGAAAAATGGCTCGCGGCATTTTACAGATGACAAAACAGAAATGTTACAAACGCTTGAGATGATTACATCATTTTTCACTCATTGACATGTTGCATGGACCTCTTAGCCACCTCTCTGATGCAGGTCGACTGAGCCACCACATGCGTTTTCAGATGATGCACTGAAAAGTCGCCGGTTGGGTTTGAATGTGGGCGCACTGGATTTTGGTTTGACAGAATGCATGGCACTTTGCCACTCACCCAGCTCATGGGGAAACTCCTCACAAACGATGGCGGTGGACGTGCTGAACCCTGTCAGAACGGACACGGTGAACGACGCGCCGATGACCAGACCGTCGATGAAGTTGTGCACGGCGTCGCTCAGAGATATCATCCAGGCCACCGTCTTGATGCTGGCGATGCGCTTCCCGCGCAGCCAGTGACACATCACTTCCGACGCCTGGGCGTCCTGGAATGGCGACACGCGGGTTAAAAAGCATGCAGCCAAACGCTTGTGTTTGGTTATGTCAAAGCAAACATATGGAATCAATGGCAAAGTTCAAACGCTAAAGTTCACCTCAATCAGAAAATAAAGAAACAGTATAGAATGACTTGCCGGATCATTGCCTTTTGCTGTTCCTCTAACTTGTTAAGAAGGGAAAAAAAAGACTGATTACTTGAATTGCCCGTACTGATTATTCTGTACTTAAGAATTTGCAGCAGATCTCTTTAATTAGAAAAATAATGGCTCGAGTGTTGCTAGCAGGAAGTCGGAGAATGCACAGAGACAAACAGATTTCTTGGCATTTGCTTGGAGTCCCTCTAAAGAGACAAAAAGCAGCTTATACTAGCTATGGCCCAACAAGGACTCTTTGTGTAAAAGTCAGACAATGGGTCCCCTTTACCATGATGGGGGATCGAATTCCTCACAGCTTAGTTTTTCTCCTTGATCAGTTTCTCTCGTGTTTGCTTAGCTTTTAGATACCAGAAGCAATGTGATGACAGACAAATCGCTGTAATTTATTAACCTTATTAATCTCCGACCTGCACTTTTCAGTGGTAAAAGTTGCAGAAATTTCTCCCTCTTAGACATGGGCCAGTTACTAATATGAGGTACACCAAGCAGGTACACCAATAACGTTGGTGTACCTGCTTAAAGTCGTTGGCTTTTGGGAACTTGCTGGTCCCATAAACACACCGCTAAATTTTCTAGAAAGTCTTTTGGAAACGCGGAAGTCATCAGCCGTGATGAGACAAAAAAGGAGTCCCATCAGCAAGTCTTTTTAAAGGTAACAAATGGGCTTAAACAATTAATCGGATTATTGGAATAATTATCAAGTAATTTAGTAATCGATTAATTGCTACCTGGTGTATACAGACTCAATAAAAAAGACAAAGATGCTGAAAGAGCAACATACTAAGCCAAAAAAATACACATATATGTATATATACACCATTGTTTTAGCTTCACTCAGTTCAAATGATCCCTATTAGACGCCTTTTGCTATCCAATTATTAGTTGGAGAAAAAACAAGATCAACAGATGAGGTCTACATTGTAGCAGAAAGCACTGAGCTTTTCACATAGTGACGTTTTAGTTTCGTTTTAGCTGCTGGTGGTTTTTGTTTTGCATCTTTTATGGATTTCTAAGGTTGTACAAAAAGGTTGAAGTGGTTAAATGAAAAATCTGCAAAATGTGGCACATTTTCAATCCGATTAATCGTAAGAATAATCCATTAATTGTCAGAATAATTCGAGAGTTCATTGATTTCTACTATAATCTCTAGCTGTTGCCTTGGTAACTAGCCACAAATGGGATGTTGTTTGAGCAGCTTACGGCAGACTGAGTAAGAGTAATAATATCCCCCATTTCAATCCCTAAACGTCAATCAACCCTGTTCACCGATGAAACAGTTTTATCACTGCTTTTCAGTAAAAATGTCACAAGTTTCAGACGGAACCTGTTGGGGCTCGACAGCCGGACTGCTCTTATCCGTAGAAACGGTGGCGATGTTGGTCAAAACCATAGAGTTGCTTTTCACCCGAGCGTCTCCGTTCTGGACGTTGTTCTCCTGAGGCGGGTCTACGGGAGTGAAGTGGCTGTGGCCGTGCTGGAAACACAGACGACAAGCGTCAGATGAGTTCATTAAAGGACCAGCATTGAAAACAAAGAGGAAACAGAATACTGATGATTTGTATTGGGAAACTAAAATAAAAGAAGTAAGAAAATAAATAAATAAAATCGTGTCAAAGGGTCACTGCATTTCCTCCTGCTCCATGTTTTGTGTTTAACTTCATCGCACAAACAACCTTATCCCAGTGATTAAATCCTGTCAGGTGAGATAGTGGAACGTCTTCAGCAGCAGTTTCCTATCAAGCGCATGGTACCTGCAGATAACAGTTCAGGAAAGCAAACTGTTTTTATAATCTTATCTCCAGAGGGAGCTACTCTCAAGATAACGTGGAACTGAGCAGGAGGCTGTTGTTCTCCAGGTTAGTCTGACATGAGCAGAAAGACTTCGTCAGGGGTAAAGTATAGACGACTTCACATCTGAGGATCACACTGCCATCAATGGAATAAAAAAATAAATAATTGATTACAAGGGTGAGGACAAGCCAGTTAATGTAGGCTAAAGGTAACAAACTTCTCGCCATCAAATTCTCAAACAAACAGGTAACCCTTTAAAACTAATTAATTGGTGATAATTTTCTGGAGAAGGACAATTACAAAAAACATCTAACTGCTAATATCAGAGCTACAAATTCAAAACGGCTAACATTTTCTGATGGGTAACTCATGAAGTTTACAGTAATTTTAATGAGATGCCAGAGAAAGTTCTCGGTTCCTATGAAGCATACGGTAATTACGCAGCACACCTTTTCCCCTACTTTTTGCTCTCATGTCGCAGGATGCTAGCAGATTTTCCCCTTTACTGCAATATTCTATTATTTCTATATTGTAACAATATAGAAATGAAATGAAGCACTATAAACTTGTTTAGGAACAGAGCATCACTTCTAAAAGAGAGCGGACAAATTAACTTTCTACACAGCTTACCTCAAGTCCAACCCCGAGAAACATTTTCAGAATTTTTTCCACAAAAAATAAAAGGTAAAATCCTCCAAATATGCCAACTGCCTTTGCCACGTAGTTATCTGCTTTAGGGTCAAAACCCAGAGCCTGTGAAGGAAAAACAGAAGAGAGCTTTTTAGTGGTTGAGAAACCAGGGGTTCTCGGCTTGATTATTTGTTTTTCAGCTCCATTGCAAAAGCAGCAAAAGTGTGCCTAGATTTTGAATTTCTTGACCCGATAAGAATGTAAGAAATCTCCAAATCTTTACTGACCTCAGGTATGAGCTGAAGCACAGCATTGGAAAAGAGAGTCCCGATGGCGAGGCCTATAAAGTAAGTCAACACTTGAGGGAAATAAGGCTTCTTGGTGAAGGGGATCAGCAGCAGACCAAGAAGGGAGGCCAGGTTGATGATGGTAACAGCCAGAAATCCATAACCCCACACTGTCACAACGTTGAACACACATTGGAATCAGGCAAACAATTATTGAATTTATGAGCTAAAACAGCAGCTAACAGGTAGGCTTAATGAAGGGCAGTGAAGTTGCTCTATTTTGTCTTTTTCAGCAATCGACATTGATTTTTTTTGGGTCTTGTTTTGTTTTGTGTTTTTTTTTTTTTTGTTTTGTTTTGCTGGATTTGGAAACGTTGATAGTCTGTGGTTAGCGAAGCGCTAACTGCTATTATCAGATGCAAAAGATGGCTTAAAAATCTTGACACCGTGACAGTGTGAGAAGCAGGAAAGACTTAACCAGACTGAAGCCACATCACCTTCACCAAGCAAACAAGCTGGAGAAAAGCCCCAGAAGTTCCTATACAAAAATGAGTCAACTCACGGCTGGAAGAGTTGTTTTCAACTCCACTCCTACAGAAACAACCGTTTTCAGTTGTCGAGGATAAATATGTAGACTGAACTTGTCACAGTGCTGCCAACCATCGAGCAGCATCTTGGTTCTTGCTATTTGAAAGGAAATCTGAAAAGGTTTTGGGTTAATGAACACAGCTTTATGTGGGGGAGGGAAAATTCTTTACAATCTGTGTCAGCGGCTCAGAGCAGGGAACCGGGCCAGCGGGTCAGTGACTCCATAAAGTCAGGCCACGGCGGCGCTCCCTGCTGGAAGCACGCCACCATCAATGACAGACGGAACGTAGTCAGATGACGCACATCAAAACTGATAATAAGAAGACTCACGACGATAAACTTGATTCTTTTCTTGACAGAATGGATATTACAGATATCTGTCTCTTATAAGGCACCATCGTCTAATTAACATTACACAGGAGAGTAATGAGTCTCCACAAAATATTTTGTTTAGAGCAATAGAGTTAAAAGAAAGATCGCTCGCTGCATCTAGAGAACCTGGTTCAGAAGAGGATTATGGCCCAGAGCTGACTCAAAAGAAGTTTCTGAGAGCAGTGGGAACAGGACTTATTAATGATGATGTTAAATACCAGCTCAAAAACTTCCTGGATGATCTGACAGCTACAGATGATGTACTGATGGGAAAGACTAATGAGGCCGTCAGCATCGAATGGGAAAGGCAACAGAAGTTCAGAAGGATTAGCGAAGACCTGAAAGCCAGCGATTTGGGAGCAAGAACAGCCGTCTTCCACCAGGATATAAAAAACCAAAACAAAACTGGAAAAGTGCAATCATCTGCCTCTCACACAGAAACCGAGCTCCGAGACGCCATCAGACAACTTAAAAAGTGAGATGCAAGACATCCGGAGACGGGTTAATGACCCATTTACCTGTATCCAAGTCAAGACCAAGTCGGAGATGTGGCTGTAAACATTGCCAGCAATAGAGGAGAGTTTTGTGACCGTTGCATCAACTGTGGACAAAGTGGGCGTTGCTAAGGAAATAAATAAGTCTTACCTCAGGTGAAACGCCGGGTCAACCAACAACGAATCAAAATGCATTTTGATTATTATTTTATTAAGCAATTAAGTAGATCAGGGAAATGAAGAAGAGGTGAAAGTGCATGCTTTTAATATCCACCAGGCCTCTTTCAGAGATGGGAACTAAAGGGAGTATCCCACCAGTTTTAATTCACTTCACAACTCTGGTATTTGCACCTGCAGGCTGTGACCTTGGATGGTTCAAACCCAGGTCAGAAATGCCCTTCGTTATGTGCTTCCTGCAAACTGCCTCCGACATGAAGGGTGCATTATAGCTAAAATTGCTTGATTGCTAGATTGAAATTAAACAACGTTTTGACATAACAGCTGGGTGTGGATTTGTTGAAAACACATCAGAAAGGCCCGGAGAAGAGCAGCGTGACATCTGTGCCAGCAACAGGAGATGATCAAAAGGAAAATGACCAAACAGGAAATGGACGCAAGCGTACCGCTGACATCACACACCATTCAGAACCTAAGTGTACGTACCATGAATACACTTCTTTCAACCATGACCATCTGTGAGTCAAACACAGCTGGAGCCAGTTGCTGAGGAGGATGAAGAACCAGTCATTGCTTACAATGTGATTGAGTACCTATTAAAAATGGATCTAGATTTTCCCCCCCATCATTACAGAAGCTGTTACTAAAGCATTTTCTTATTTCAAGTTAGATATCGTAGCTCTGAATAAACTCTCCCCAAAAGGTGGTTGAATACGAATCCAGGTCACATTTTTACTTGAAGTTTTTTGGTCGTTCAATAATAAAATGTTGAAACGTTCGAGGTGGCATAAATGCATCTGTTTGACCAAGAGGGACAAAATAATTAAAAGCACTAATAATTGCAGTCTGCAAGTGATTTATTAGGGCAGATTTCCAACAACCTATTGCAGAACAAATATGTAACTATGACTAATGTAATTTCTGACTCTAAGCTTTTAATAGAACCAGAATTGAGATCATGTAGGAGAAATGCTACCCGTGATGCATTCGGCCTGATCCTCCCGTAATCATTTACACGAAGAAAAACCTCAGTAAAAGAGATCTACCACCCGAGTCACTGTGGCTGAAAGTGTTGCCACATCTCTCAGTTAAGGCAATAAACCGTCGTGACCCGTCGGTCACGACCAGTACAGGGGGTAAAAAGTAAGACAATTCTAAGGGCCCCTCCGCACTTATTAAGAAGAACTGGACTTCTTAATAAGTCCAGCTGGACCTATTAAGAAGTCCAAACAGTGTTGAAATGCAGCAACTCACCAGAGTAGTCGACGGAGGGCACCGTTATCGGGTTGACATAGGGGCAGGAGGGCAGCAGCACCTGGGTCAACACGGCGGGACAGATCCGCCCCAGGTGTCCCACGGTCAGCTCAGTGACGTTACTGAAGCCAAAGTGGGACAGAATCTGCTCCGCTGAGGGACACTGAGGGACACACAGATGGTATTAGACATTATTTCTTCCACACTTCTGGCTTTTTGCTGTGTGGAGAGTTTCTTTCCATCTGAAAGCTCCGATTAACACTATATTGCACCGTAAAGTATTATTGTTATTACACAGTAATGGATAGAGTTTGAAAATAGTTTCTGTTAAAGATGTGTAGGTTTCATAAATATGTTTCTTTTATAACTTTGGCTGTGTTGTTTTTTAAAAAAAACCCACACATTTAAAAAGTTAAGTTGTGTATTTTGGGTTGTTTTCATTTTTTACCATCTTCAAAATCATAAGTTTGCATGTATTTCTTTAGTATTTAGAAGAATACCTCGCTTATAGAAACCATTTAAGTTCTGCCCATAAGTTTACTATGGAACTGAGTTCAGCGGTTTGTGATGGTCAGTATTTCAACATAATGTTCTTTCATTATTGTGCTCTCTATTTGTTTAAGCTCAAGAATTAATCCAGCTCCTTAATAATAATAATAATAATTAAAGGGGCAATATTGTGTGTTTTCCAGGCATATTTCACTGTTTTATAGCATTTAAATAACTGCCACCTTCATTTGGTATAAAAATGCTGTATATATCAAATATGACATAAAATAAATTTTACTTTGTAATTTAATGCCTTGAAATTGGGCTTCTGTCTCTTTAAGAAACTCCTGCTCTTTCTGAAACTCTGCCTTCAGGAAGTCATCACAACATGGCTCCTCTTTCTATTAACCCTTTAGCAACGTTTTTACCAGCGCTGTACTGAGAAGCAGCTCAAATAATGAGCCCAGCCGACATAAAGTTCCACCAGGTGTTTGCTAATTGCTGCTGGCTAGTCTGAAGGAGCCGAGTGGGGGGAGACTTGGAGATGGGCTGCTATGTGAGGCAAAAGCTTGGAAACTTTGAAACTGCAGGGGGAGCTGCATCTCGAGGGCGGAGCTACATCCATCCAGGCATTTTGTTCAGCAAATAAAGAAAAGTTTTGGTAAACCTATGCGGGCAATGTGCTTTCAGAAACCTTCAATCCCTAAAACGGCATAACGTAAATTGTGAACACTGTCGATTTATTGTGCATTTATCATGGGTATAATGTATCTATGATACGTTATATGTGTGGAATTATTAGTATGCTGGAATTTCTGAAAATGAATTTGACATTTCTCTATCTTCCACTGAATATTCATGATGTTCAAAGAACCACCTTGCATCACAATCTAAAGGGTTAAAGATGATTTTCTCCCGCAGAACATACATCAATGGTGAATGAAACAGCCCTTCCACACATCAGTCATATTCACAAGGAAAATAAAAATGACAACAATAAATAAATAAATTTATTTCTACAAATAAAAAAAAGAAAGAAAAGAAAACAAATGGAAAAAGACTCACAACTGTTCACTGAAGTGAAGGAGTACAGACCTCTTTGCTTTCCAGCGGATTCCCTTCACTTATTGCCTCAGACCTTCTGGCTGAGACCAGCAGCAGCATGTCTTCGAGCTTCGCCGTCGCAATTGATTCATTCTCGCCGTAAAAGTGTAAAATATCCTCCAGGAATTCCTGGCCATTCCGCCCGGCCACCTCAGCGCCGTGGGTGAGCGCGCTCAGAGCCAGGGCGCACGCGACGAGCCACTTCACGTCAAACATCTCCACTTTTTCTTCTATTTTTTTTGTTTGTTTTTCCGGAGTGCAGTTTGACCCGGGAATAAAAAGCCACTACAGCAGCCGCCGTGAGAGCATTTAAATCAGCCCGGTAAAAAATAAATAAATAAAAAATCACCACGTCCGTGGTGTTTGAGCCATTAAGTTTTGATGAAATTCTCCCCCCCACACGGACCCCAGTGCGCGTGCACTCGCGTTCTGTCTCTCTCGTGATTACTTTATTTCGCTCCTCGTGCGGTTTGAGCTGCTCGGTAGGATGAGCGACCTCTGCTCTCTGAGGTGGATGAGGTTCAAAGGTCAACCCCGCTCCGACCAGAAATAACGAGGAGGGCCGAGCGAACGAGGTCGCGCGCGCGCTCTCTCTTTTCCACGCTTTATTTAAATCCCCTTTCACTGGACAACAACAACGAGCTTCACAACCAAACAGTGATGAAGGTCCCGTGTGCTATTCAGCAGATTCTGTCGGAAAATGTGTGACGTGAGGAAAGTGTTGGAGCTCGCGCGGGATGTGTGACTCGCTGTCAGTCTTTAGTTGATCGTGTTTGTGACAGTGACATATGAAGGTAGTAAACGTGAAGAAAACTTTAAAACTAAGGAAACCTTGTCGCCCTCTTGTGGCAACGCATGGTTAACTAACTATATTTACACACATAGGGGGTGTTCAAAAGTGCGGCTCACTCAAACTTGGCCCTGACAGCACAGAACATTGATACATATATAAACTTTTTCTTGTAATTAAGGGCAAAATTATAACCAATTAAAATATTTTTACAATGGAAAATGTAAGAAAGTATTTGTTTTCTTTCATAGAAAGTAGGGTCACAATTACTTAAGAGTTAAAAGCTGACTAGGCAAATTTGGCTAACTCTGTTTTTATTGTTGAGAATAGAATTAATTGTTCTGTTTTTTTTCCCCAACAGTCAAAAATAATTAAACTAGATATCTTTCTCTTTCTGTGAAGAACCCAAACATACAGCTGCGCACTCAGTCAACTTTATTTGTACAGCTCATTTCAGCACTTAGGCTGATTATTAAGTGCTCTATTAAAACATTAGTAATTTTTCCAGAATCAATTTAAGCCATATTTTTTAGGAGTCAGATAGGATATCAAGTTGCTTCAGCTCTTCTTGTGACAGATTTGTGCTCATCCCAATTTGGAACAGTTTGGTTTTGTGGCTATTCCCTAATGCATCGTCATGGAGCCTTGCAGATGTGCGTCACTCGTCGACAGATGTCCAATCCAGCGTCGATGTTTCTCCACCCTTAAAAACGTGATCCAGCCACCAATTAAAAATGCGATAAATATTACATATGTACTGTATACATACATTTGCATCGGCGAAAAAAAATTGACAAAGTTGTGGCCGCATTTGTAATGCAGCGACTTTTATGGTCTTTAAATTTAATTGTTAAATGTCTGTGGTACAAAACATTCCCGGTGGGAAGCATCAGAGTCTGATGTGACAAAAGGTGCAAAATTAAGCAAAAAAACAAATGCAAGTCATTCTGCATTATGACATCTTTGACAAATTGTGGGAGTATGAATGCTTCATGTACTGTAAAAATTCACATCCCTGAGATACTCAGCTGCTCACCTCATGCAGAGCCTCACCCTGTTTCAAGAGTAGCAAATACTAACAATCCTATTTTTATTGTTTCAGGAGGATTAGGAAACAAACAATCAAACAAAAAAACATCACATTCAAAAGTCCCACAAGTGTGAAACAGCAGTTAGGAACAAAGGCTGTAAACTGGAGGCTCTCGCTTATCTACAAACATCCACTTCAAACTGGCGGGTCTCGGGTCAGTAAACGTCCGTTAAAGTTGTGACTGTGAGCGATCCGGACAGTTCTCCCACACTGGTGGCCCGCCAGGCATCAAACCTGACGGTTGCATTTCTTGTAACCATCAGGAAGCCGTTGGAGCTGAAGCGACCGGGGACGTTTCCCACGTCGAGCCAGACGAAAGGAGCCACGGCGGCGGAGCGGAGGGTGACCGTGAAGCCCGACTCGTCCTCCTGAACCTTCGCCTGGCGGAGGAAGAGAAACAAATCAATCAACTAACACTTGATCCAAAAAGTCAAAGCTGTGCAGGAGTAGAGAAGTCCTGGTTTTCCCATTAGGTACATTCGGTGTTCAAAACCGAACATAAACGGTTTAGAAGCTTCTAGAAAGGAAACCAACATTAATCAGGAGAGTACGACCTCTCAGCTAATGGGAAGGTGAACGTCTACTGTAAAAGTTGCTGCGTTTCATCACTTTGAAGAGGCCAAATGTTGGTCGAGGAACGTGCTGAAGTAGGAAGTGCTGGGAAATGTTCAGAAATCTGTTAATGGAAGAGTCAATTCGCTGTACAGGAAAACATGCAGGGGAATGCTATTAGCAATGGTGCTAACATTCCAATTCGCAATAAATTTTTTAAATTGTTAATTAATTACTTGGTTTCTTCATTAAAAATTTGAAACTGTGGAGGTGTGTAACATCGACCGCTCTCTCTCTCTCTCTGCATTATATCAGCTCTGATAAGCTTTAATGTGTTACGGTCATTGAATGAATCACATCGCAGCTGTTTCCTCAAAGTAAGATGGACACAGTGTTACTATCGTGATGCTTAGATTGTTACTACAGACACGGTCTGAGGGATTTGTCTGGATTATCAACATTTCAATGATGCAGGGGTGAAGTTTTGAAGCCTTGCCTCGTTTTTGGGGGAGTCTTTGTGTTTACTTTACAATAAAAATGGAGTTAGGTGCGTTAAGTTTTCACCTTATCCGGATGGCAAGGGGAAAAAAAAAAACACATTTTTTTGCCTCTTAAGGACGTTAAAGAGAAAAAGGAAACGGCTAAAACTTGAAATGGCAGATAAGGGGTTTACAAATAAATAAAAAAATCCCAAAACATTGTGGATTTTATCATCTGTAATGTGTCTAAAACAAATTTAGGATATCTAATTACAGTAATGTTGGGTCTCTGCAGCCCCACAGCGTCTTTGGGAGAGCAGAGGAAGTGGCGGTTGGTTGGGCCGTGCTGCGCGCCGTCTTCGTCTCGTAGGTGGAAGGTGAGGAGGCAGGTGAGGCGGCTGCAGTGACCACACCCGGCCAGCAGGGCGGCAACAGACTGTTTGTAAATGACGGCGGCGCTGCCTCCGGAAACCAGCAGCGGCTTTGACGTCAACGTGCAAACAGAGTCCAGGTCAGCCCAGGAGTGCACTGTGACCTGACACACAAACACACAGAGAGAGATGAGGGGAAAAAAAACAAAACACTGTTTCTGCTGATATGTGACTGATAAAAAGGAAAAAAAAAACACTGTTTCTAAGACATGTTGACAGTGGCTTACATTAAGGAAAAAGAAACAAGACTCTAAAAGCAGTAATAGATAAAAAAAAATAAAATACAATAAATCAATAAAATAGAAATAAATGTGGAAATATTCTGAAATATACACATCTTAAAAAATTACTAGGCATTATGATCCTATCAGATGCCCCTTAAATAAATAGACAGTTTTTAAAATAAGTTTAATTGAACTAGAGGGTTTTTTTTATTTATCTTCTTAATTAAAAATGTGCATAAAACAGGAAAAAAAAATCTCTGCCTCCTTGTCTCTCTTCTTCACAGTTATGTGCCACTAATACCGCTTGGAATTTGTGACACATTTCAAAGGTGCACAAGTCGAAGCTAACCACAGCTCTGAGCTCCAGGTCACGACTCAGATCAGAGACGGCGTAGACCAACAGCGTGTCGTCGTCTTCGAAACCCACAGGAAGGACTGCGGCGAAGAAGTTCTGAGCAAAGTGGTGCAACATTTTCCACTTCCCACCGAACTCTGCACAAAGGGAAAACAAAACACAGCCTTGGAACTTCAGCTGGTCTCCTTGTGGCCATCGAAATAACAGTCAGAAAAAATTGTCGGTCAAAAAATCTAAACACAGATGCGAAAGAATAAAAAAAAAAAGAAAAAAAAAAAAAGAAGGCAGTCCAAGTATCAGATCACACACCGATTGATGACCAGGACGGCGCCTGCCAGATGTCGTTGAGCTGCCAATAGAGGGCGCCCATTGTGTGACCTTTGCCCTCGATTATTTCACTTCGACTCCTCCGGTAGAACTCTGTCTGGGTCTTCACACACTCGGCCTGCATGACCTGCGCAACCATCAGGACACAACTGAGATGACGAACCAGGATTCACATTTTTATTATTGAAATAAATCACAACATCTTTCAATTGAACTTCAGGTTTGTGCATACATTGGATGGATGTTTTTTTTTTTTTTTAAATAGACTTCATTTGTTATGCGTTTGCCATTTAAAGTCTGACAAACACTTTTTTAAAAAGAATTATGTCCCGATTGTGTTTCATTAGACAGTTTGTGGCTTGTTTTCTCAAATTGCTTGTAGCATAATAGATACGTCAGGCTTCTGCGTTCATTTATTCGTCAAAACCAAAAATAACTCTCACAAACACAATGAAACCAACACTGAATGATACTTGAAAAGCATTCAACCCACTTTTACCAATTTAAGAAGCAAATTATACATTTTTAAACATCTATGCATAACGCGTTTACAGATTAGCAGATTGTTTCAGGAAAATATTTTGTTAAAGAAATAATCGGATCAAAAACGAGACATGAGGCTTTAAAGGGTTAATGACAGATTGGTCTTTCATATGGTCTTTTCCCTTGTCTAAAGACAAGAAAAAAAATGTAAAAGAGATGAAAATATGCTTCTAAACTATCATTTCCATGGGACACGAGGTGTGTCAAGAGGTTCACCTGAGTGATGTACAGAGTGTCTGTAAATCTCTTCGGGGGAAACGTGGAGTTGGGCAGGACGAAGTGGAGTGCGGCCTGCTGCAACATCTGGTGGTTCCCGTCTTCGTGATGCTGGCGGTGGGAAGAGAAATTGCTGCTGTAGCTCCAGTCTTCTCGCACAGAAACCTGAAAACGCAGCAGCAGGAAAAAGATCCAGACTGTGAGAAGCGAATATGGAAGACCAGGTCGGTGTTAATTCCTCATAATTAACCTGCGAAGATGCAAAATCTTACCAAGTATGTCTGGTCTAATTTTTAGTGCAGTTATCTTAATAGTTTGAATAAAACAAAACAAACTTGCAAGTAAATTTTCTGTAAGCCACAGAAGCTTGTTTGAAGTCAATAATTACTTCATATTTATTTGAAAAAGTTCTAGTTTCACTGGCAGATTAGTTTACTTATAAAGTGTGAAAATGTCTTGTCATAAATGTCAGTGGAACTGGTGCATTTTGAAATCAATATTAAATAATTATTGACTTAAATTAAGCTCTT